AAAGGGTGGGACGGGGGCACTAAGCCACCATCTGAACCAGTGGAGCACAGAAAACGAAGTGCAGATTCTAACAGCGATTCGCTGGAGGGCCCCAGAAAACAGGGTCCACAAAGGATACCACTGAAGCACGTGGGCAAAGGGCAGGAGGCCCCTAAAAGCGGCCGTCTTTCTTTCCCAGTTCACACCCCTCTCAGCTGCGAGCAGGGAGACCAGCGCTTCTCAGCGGCCCTCCCCCGCCCGGCCCCGCCCGGGCCTTACCGATGGAGATCTCCTGCGCAAAGGCCAGCGAGATGAGCAGCAGGGGCAGCCCCACGGCGATGCACGTGACCATCTTGTCCACGGCCAGATCCAGCCGCAGCCCCTTGAACCTGGGCTCCGTGGGCTCCTTCAGCAAGAAGTCCGAGAACACGGGGTGGGGCTCCCAGGTCTCATAATGACAGAGATTAGGAGTTGTTAGCCAAGTCTATTCTCAACCAGGCTGAAGGGTAAATTCCAACAGGGCAGCCAGAGAGCCACGCCTCACCCTCCCTCCAATTCTCCTCAGGTAGGTACCTACGTTACCTACGATAACCTCATTCTTTGGCTGACACTTAGCTTAGCCTTGTTGGGGCAACTCCCTTCCAACAAATGTCCAATCAACACAGTGGCTTTGATGGGTGCTGCTGGGCCAGTTAAATTCAAGGCAGACAGATCTGCTCAGAAGGTTACGGCAGCTGTTTTAGGGGACTACAAAGGTATACTCTTGATAGGAAGGGGAGCAGTTCGAAACCATTGGTTGCTCCGTGGGAGAGAGACGAAGCTTTGTACTCCCATAGAGAATTACAGTCTTGGGGAGTTCTACCTGGTCCTATAGGCTCGCTGTAAGTCGGGATTGACGTGATGGCAGTGAGTTTATTATGGAGAAGTTTTAAGGACAGCCGCCCTCGCGAGAATAATGCTAGGCAGGCTGCACCAAGGAACAATTTCCCACCTGTTATTCTTCAAGCCTCTGAGCGTCTGGTCGGGAACATGTACCCCATCTCCCCCGACGGCTCTGATCTTCTTGCCCCTTCAGACTTAGTGTTCCCCGGCCTCAGAGAGCATTGAAAAGGAACACCATTTGAGTCCCTCCAAGGGGGGAATGGCCGCTCTTCCATGGTGTCAGCAGAGGAGCACACAATTCCCTGGGGAAGGGAGAGAGCGATGGGAACACTGCCTTCGGAAGAGCACCGCCCCGGATGAAGGACTTGCTGAGCAAGGACTGCTTCACGTTTGGATATTTCTGTTTCAGAAGGGTTTCTGTGACTTCGCAGCAATACTTTCTGACGGGGTCTTGGTTTCGGTTGGGTTATAAACCCATCTTCTTGCGCTGCTCTCTACTTTCCCAGGGACTGAA